GTGTTGAGAGCAGCAGACAGTTAAGTTTCACTTTCACTTTGCTCTGTTACTACCGAGAGCCTGCAGGAGTCATGGGCGAGGTGTGTGGGGTGGGGAGGTGTGCTCTGTGATGAGGAAGTTCGACTTAAAGACACGTCCCAGGGGCGTTTCTGGTCCCAAAAGGCGTTTCTGGTCCCCACCTGTCGTTTTGCTCCTCAGCATGGCTTTCTAAAAACGCTGCAGGATTTCTCAAACATGCATGAATGAGTCAAAGCAAGGCTTTGGGCATGTTTTTATGAGAGTATAACATTATAAGATGAAAAAACTCAAAAAAGTTGATTTTACATGATATTGCCCCTTTAAATCAACTGCTAATGTTAATTATACCATAATTATTATTATGAGTATTATAATAATAAGTATTATTTTAGATTCACATCATGGTTTTGATCTAAATGTATCTTGTAATATTTCCAAATTATATTATTTTGAAACAGATGTGCACAGATAGATGTCAGGTGWTGAGTACGTTCCCTTTTCCCTCTGAACCATGTCGAACTGTTTTATACAGTGTACCATCATGGTGAATCATGGTTTCACTTATTGAAAAGCAAACAATATACCAGTGCCCTAAAAGCAATGTTGCCTTCACACCCTCCCTTCACCACACCCACACACACCCTCACACATGCATGCAGTACTCCTGTGCAGTGCCGCTATAACGAGCTTCCTCTCCTCTCCAACTCAGCAGAGAACCGGGTGATGTCTAATCCACAGGTATTTTACCTCCTCAACCTCAGATGTTTTAAATTTCACTTGCATCAACTTGATGTAAATTTGTCAATCTGTGTTTGATCACTCTGTGGCCTTCGCAATGAACCTGGATGTGTGACACAAAAAAAAAAAAAAGGAATTTTGGAATTGAAACTGAATTAGAAGTGAAAGTGAAAGTAGTCAAACTAAAATTTTAATACAATAAAACACAATTTCAAAGCAAAGTAATTCAGATTCAAACCATAAATTCCCTTTCACTTTAGTGAAATTCAAACCAGTGCATTTAATTTCAAAGTGTGCAAATACCGATTCAGTCTGACCGATTCAAATTTAGTTTCTAATTGCACGAGTTTCTTCCCACATCACTAAGGTAATACTCTAAATGTGAAATAGTTTCATAGTTTCTCTTTTTTGTCACTGGATTTAGTGCATTCATTCCACTATTAGTCAAGAAAACTAGTAATCTTTGATTTTAGTGCGGAAAGAGTAGAAAATCAACTTTAATTATCCTTTTTTATTCTCTTCTTATTTTTAAGTAAAATAATGTTGTTTAATTAAGGCCTTTTTTTTAACCTGATTTGCTGAATTGCAATAAATTGTACCTATGAGAAATAATAAATGAAAAAGTTAATACTGAAGACAATAAGGCAAAAGAGATGAAAGCTAAGTTATGTAGGTTCTAAATGCTACATAAAGTTTTCTTTGGAAAAAGGTCTTTTGCATTTAGAGTTTTAAAAGAATAACATTTTTTCAATAAATATTGACAGAAATCGGCCCTTGGCTCGAACTAAGTTCTGAATTCCTTCCCTGTTGTGTTTGACCCCCTTTGTGTTGTTACATTTTGACCATGACAGTCAGTTGAGTCTTTGTTGTAATTCATTGCACAGACCCCTGTCACCAAGCAATTTYAYCYAAATAAACATCATATTTCATATTGTTGRTTTCAAAATAAGTGGTCTTCACCTTAATGGCAATAATATTTTTAAGAATATTCTGGTCATATTCACATTTAAAAACTGAAAAATAATTTCCGTGTCTTGCATTTTAGATATCTTGCACTTCTTACTTTGACATGTAGAACTGGGACAGTGTGAACATATKAGGTTTTAAGACCTATAGTTTATGCAACACAACCATTGGTTCTTTGTAAACACTTATGTGACAATCAAGTGTGAACTGCTAAAAGGTTTTCATTAAAGTCAAATCTCACAGGATCAAATGAGATTTTGGGCACTATGCAAGAAATATGCTAATTTATAGAATTCCACATTAGCTCAAACTCTTGGCAAAACMTGGGCCAAAGTTTGCCTTTATATAAGCAAAAACACTTCTAGTTCTTTAGAATTGTGGAAACTAATCTGAGACTAATTGGAGATGGGTTCTAGACGATTGCAGCAACTCTGTGACTATTCTGAGTGAAATCTCGGCGTGCACATTTTTCAAACCTGTTCAAACTTCTTGCAGCATGAGGCCCTGCAAATTGAGCCAGAGGTAATTGAGAACTTTTGCAAACTTTTCAAAACATTTCGGAAGCTTCCTCCTTGTGAATTCCATTCGCAATTTGTCTCCATCAGCTAGTGAGATCCGAGCTGAACTGCAGATATTTTGACAAAAATAGACACTGTTTACTCATAAGCCTTGTTTACCTTCTACTCCTGACCCTTAAAATAAACCCAACATGGCTCCTTTCCCCAGCAACCCAGAGGGCTGCAGGTGGTCTGTGTGGACACCTCAGTATGCGTTGTGACCTGGGTTCATAGGTCAGACCCTCAAATGACGATCTTCCTCGCTGCCTCTAATTGCCCTGTTTATTTTTAGTCCACAGTGGGCTGTGTCAAGCTATTAAAAGAAACATGAACATGAGGCTGTCTGCTAATTACTGTTGGGCCAGGAGACCCTCACTTTCTCTGATTGCTACCACATGCTAACCCAAGGAGGAGTCTCATCTGTCATCCTCAGTGTCTCTGTGTGGTTTTTCTGTTTGCAAAGCAATGTTGGATACAACATTGAAGCACGAGGGTGTTGAAATATCTCTGGTAATGCCCTGAATATGGAAATGTTGGATTGCATCTCGTAATTGCACTTCTTTCTTCCGGTTCAAAATGTGCTACAGCAACAAATTTAGACTCATAGCAAACATAGTCACAAGGAGTTAGCGTTACATGGAAAGATAGAAGACAACAGTTGGAGCAGATAGTGCTGGGGAATATCAGAGATTTGGGTTCAAACATTTAAGGAAGCACTAAGTAATTGGYTCGATTTGGACCTATTTGTGGTCAGAAGGAAGGTTGAAATAAAGCAGCAGACTAGGTCGACTTGCTGAAGTTGTGAAGTTTACAAAGGTTTGATTGCAGTAGGAAACTGAGTGTGGGGATTAGCCCATTAGCCTGGGCAAACACTGCATGTCAAGGTTTAGTTTCAGCAAACATTATAAAAGGTAGAAATTTGTTAACAAATGAACATAAGTGGAACTGAAGGTCTAGAATTCTATGAAGAATCACATAACCTGCTTGAATGACTTGAACAACTTTCTGCTATCAAGTAATGCTGGTTTTGGAAGCCATTTTTGAATCAGGTTGACTCTAAACATAAATTTGTTGTGAATGCACATCAAATGATTACTTTCTGTAAATATAATTTAAAAAACTGTGATAATGTGTATTGTTATAAAAAGTTGGCTATGTTGGTTTACTTGAATTGGTTTCACTTCAAAAGTTAATCAGCTGCTGTTCGACCAAAGATAGTCTGTGAGTTTTGTTCACAAAATGTTATTGATTGCCCTACTTTTTGGTGATGGGTAATCATAACATAAACAYTTGATTCAAAATAAATGAGTACAAAACAATGGTTAATTTCCTTTTTTTATTTTACATTTAAAACTGGGATGACTTTTTAATTTTCAGTTCAGTTTCAAACGGGAAAGAACTTTTGCAACTTTTGCAACTTTTGATGTTTCTCGTCTTGCCTTAGTTTCAGAGTGTTTTTGAGGGGACCGCTTCATGTCGGTTGTAAATCTGAAGCTGTCAGGAAGGTGTCTGGATATTGTCAGACACCACAGGCCCACCCGACTCGCCTCGCCCTGATGGATTGAGTTTCCTCGGCACCTCGATGCACACAAACCTGCAGCTTCCTGCAGAAACAAATCACCAAATGGGCACAAATAGATATTCACTTGAGAGCAATGCATTATATTATTGAAGCCTTTAGGTGGCAATTATGTGTTGTCCTGTTTCCTGAGCACTTTGGTTAYATCAAAGGCTGAGCCTCATGGGCTGACCTGTTCACTTTCTGCAAAAGAAAAGCCCTCAAGCAGAAGATGGCATAGATTTGGCAGTTTTTGAGTATATTTGGCATGACTTTAGCTTAATTTGCATGATAAAAATGTAGATTGTGAAGCAGGAAATTTGTTTGGATAGTAAATACATCTTTAAGTTGTAGTTGGAAACATTACAAACTTTATCTCAGTCCAGTTCAGGCTGATGTTTTGACAGTAAAATCAGGTCTGAAAAAAATAATGGGTTTAAAACGTTTCCTCTCACAARGTTGGACACTTAGTGTTGAAAATGTCTTCTTTGTTGTTTATCAGATGATAAACTGTTGTCTTGGTACAGTGAAGTGCTCTATGAGAGTTTTTTTAAAATTTATTTCTTTCATACATGTAGTGAARATATTACAGTTTACAACACACTGATGAACATTGGATTTATTMAAATCAAACTGACACCAGCTGAACAATGACAAAACAAAATTGTCATAGAAGAGAGACTAAAGAGTGAAATTATTATAACCTGCAGAGAGATGGATGTATTTCAGCAGCATCTGGCAATAATTTTTAATAATGGCTGCTAAMCCTGGTTATCTGGACCGAGAAATGTGGATTACTCTTTTTTTATCTCAGCGCTGGAATTTCAAACTCTGCGCTTTGTGAAAGCTTTCATTTTGGAAAAAGTTTCAGCTTTTTCTTTGTTTTTTGAGTTTTACTGAGCTAACACCCAGCTGTTGTCAAGATCGGAAAATCTGGACTCTGTCACGAGCGTTTCTAACCACTGTTGCTGTTGTTTGTCTTTTCACCGGAGTGTAACATGGTGTGACTGTTTATGGTTGAGGTAATGTTTAAATGTGCCGTGCACATGAACAGTAAAATTCATTGCAGCTTATTTTCTTTCTCACAAAGCACATTTTGGTGCAAATCACAACTTTGCACCTATTTTATGTATAAAAAGGTTTGAACAATGTTTTTCTTAATAACTACATAAGAATTTGGTATTTTTAGTTAAAAAAGGGACAAGTCCTTATTTATGTAACAGCTGACACCCCTAATGARCTATCTATTTCTTTATCAGAGCTAGTTAGCAGCTAGCAATRGGGACCTCCACTCAAGCTATTTTTAGAATCCTTCACCTTGTGCATACTAACTATGGTAGCACCTCTATTGGTTATAACCACAGTGCACCGCTTTAGCTGTGCTTAAACTTAAAGAAATTCGGGAAAACAATGAAACTCCAAAGGTAGGACCACAAAACATTGTGCCGCAGTACTTGTAACATTGACTCAGGACACAGTCATCATCCCCACATGGAAGGAGTATTTTTATCACTTTTCCCAAGTGAAGATACACCAAACAACTAAATGTTTAAATTTTATAATGACACAGCTATTCTCTGCCTCATTTCAGACACATCACACAACCAGCTACAAACAGTAGGTCCAAATATTTGCTCAGTGGTGTGATGAATACTTTCTGATTCTTAATGTCCAAAAAACACATGAACTGATCTTTGACCTGAAGGCAGTTGGAGACCACTCACCGGTGGTCATCCACAATCAAGTAAYTGCCCAGGTAGACTCCTACAAATACCTTGGAATACAAATTGACAATAAACTTTTGTGGACTGGTCAGGTTGAAAATATCTGCAACATGGCAGCAGCAACTAAAGTTTTTAAGGTTCAGGGCCTTTGGTGTCAGTCAATGCTGTAATAGAGAGCATCATTAGGTATGGCCTCTCTGCCAGGTTTGGTAAACAAATTCAGGCCAAACTCAGTTGTCTTACACAAAAAACTATGAAGATGATGGGAGTCAAGCAGAATCCCTCACTTCAGACTGTTTTCAATGAAACAATCAACAAACAGGCCCAGAAAAATCATCTCAGACCCCACTCTTATTCYTCATTCAGAGTATCAGTTTCTTCCTTCAAGTCGGCGTCTCAGAGTTCGCTCATGTAGACTGAACCGCTACAAGAACTTATTTGTTCCACTTTCTATTAAAGCCATAAACAGTAACAAACAATAAATTGTAAGTTGTGACTTTAGGTAATGGTGTTTGAGATTTTCATCTACCGGCTCGCACAGGCATCCTAGCAGCTGGCCTTCATCCACCAGCTCTCACCATTAATTTTAACAGATAGTCTTCATTCACTAGCTGGCAGTCCCTCTACACCTCTCATCTTGACATTCATTCTGCACTCAGCTGATAACGTGTAGCTTTGACTTAAATCTCAGCCTCTCTTTTGGGGGGACATAGAAAAGCCCTCACCTATTTATGTACTCCTAGTTTGTCGGCCATCCCTATTAYGTGTCGTCGTTCTCATCATCCCCTAAATTGCCATTCAGGTCAAGCTAGTTTAATGTGGCCTCATCCTCCTCTCRGCTTCGGCCTCTWTTTGGTGGATTAAATCTCCTACCCCTAACTTAAAGCATCTCATTTGAGATTAAAGCTTCACTCAGCGCTCTCGTCCTCTGCCGGGGTCCGAGCGCCAAACTCTAATGCCATTTATGTCGTAACGTTGTTGGTCCGGTCATGTCAATAAACCTCCTAAAGTTCATTCTGTCTCATGTGAGTCTTTCCAGGTTGAAATGTATTTATTTCTCTTGAAATGTATTTATTGTAAAGGGCTTTGTGTGTGTGTGTGTGTGTGTGTGTGTGTGTGACTGTTGTGGTTTTGGATTGTGTAGCAGTCAGGGTCTGTACTCAAGACAAATTACCTTTGGCACAATAAAGTTAATCTTATCTTATTGACCTTTAGTGTTACTTTATGCACTGAGTAATAATATTTGCTTTCATATATAGGCTACAATCTACATACCTGAGCTTGTTTGACAGTTGTGGTAATATTGACTCTTCAGGGTGTGGATTGGGTGTCATCCGCTCGCTGGAAGCTGTGGGGCTCATGTGATGTCAGGCCGTTGGTGTAACTCTGTTACCACCCAGACAGCTGCTGCTGGAGCCCCAGGCCACCTATGGAACCCCTCTGCACAACAAATCCACCTGGAGGTGTGCCTCATGGTACTCAGCTCCTGAGAGCCTTGCAGGCAGCTGGAATGCTGGTTTCGAGATCTGCTCCAACACCAACACGGAAATCTAGGGAAACCAACATTTGAAAGCAAAGCTCATTAAATCAGTCACACTTTTTATGTTTGCCTTCAATGTGCTGCCACTGAGGAGGCCCTCTGCTAATAAGGCTGCATTAAGTTATCCATACACTAGAAAATAGAAAACTGCTGTGTTGCAGTTGCATTGGTTTCACATTGTTGAATAATAGCCAAACCACTAGAGCATAAAAAAAAGCTTACAAGGCTGCTGGATTATAGCATGAAACTCAAGACTTGAGTGCTCCAGACCTGGTCTTTTTCCAAAATGTTCAAGTAGAATCAGCAGTTTGCTTCTCCAGGACACTCCCTCTACCATGTCCTAATCTCCCTGAGAAACCAAGGTGCGACTCCTGGGTGAAAGGGTCGCTGCCCCCTCAGCATTCCTGACTTGGCAGGGGGGCAAGGGTTGGGTTGAAATAGAGAAGCAGAGTGAAGCATTGAGGTAAGCAWGGGCATTGTTTGTCAAGGGGAGGTGACTAGCTGGGTATGGTCATTTGGCTTTTGTAAGTTTTCTGTGTCATTGTTGGTCAGACTTCACTGAGCATTCCTCCTGGCTCTGCGCTGAGTGTGCAGTGAAGAAACGTACCAGAAAGAGGGGGAAAAGTGACAAAACAAATGGGTTTCTAAATCTTAGGGGAAACAATGGAAGGTGTCCCCCTTGAGCCAATTTGGGCTTTTGTGGCCTTTAGGGCTTTGAGTAGAAAACCACTTGACGCAAAGACATGTGAGCGACATAAGAAAAGTCAACCCTCAAAAGCAGTCATTTAAAACTATATTTACCTCTCAAATTCACCTTTAAATGGAATTTCCAAACAAACTTAAACAGGAAATATGTTTTCTGTGAAAATGCAGCATGAGTCATTAGSACTGAATGACTTATTTAAAGGTTTTGAAGAAATTGAAATGAGCTTTTAAAGTCAGGACAAGCAAAACACGAGCTAAAATGAGCAGAACAATGAAAAGATACAAGAGCAGAGTAGACACTAAAAGCTAAAACACACAAAACAGTGGATAAAAGCTAAAATTAACTGAACATTGGCAGAAAGCTGATAAAACAATAGCAAAAAGCTATATGTGGCAAAACAGTAGTTAAAAACTACAATTAGGAAACTGTGGTCACCATCTAAAATGACCAGAAAAGTTTCTAAAAGCTAAAATGAGGAAAATCAAAGTTAAATGAGGAAATATTGTTGCAGAAAGCTAAAGTTTTCCCAGTTGAAGCTAAACGGAAAATATTAGCTAAAAATAGGTAAAAGCTAAATGGAGCCTATAAAGACAAAAACAGAGCCAGTAAGCTGAAGTATTGTATATTTGGGGGAAAAAAACAATGTTTAGAAAAAAATTGAAGAAATTATTTTTATGGGGAAAATGTTTATAAAAAATTGAAATCTGAAAAGTATAAAGTTACAAATACCAAAAGTGTGGTAGTACTGATTGATTTGATATTTAAATAATTACAGTACAACTGCACAAAATATGTGGATGTAGTTAGAAAGTGAAAACACAAAAAAAACCTATAAAAAATGCTGACTCAACATTCACACATTTTTTTAATTCTACCATATTTATTGTAAACATTACTTATTAAGACAACCTAATTTTATATGTAAAACATAAATTAAATATTTAACCAACAATTTTCTTTACCTACTTTTCATTTTCTGGTCAAAGGGTGCTGGTGTCTGTCTCCAACAGTCACTGTGTGAGAGGTGGGGGATACCCTGGGCATGCATCCAGTCCATCACAGGGACACATGGAGACGACAACAACAACCCTTCACACTCTCACTCAAACCTAGGGACAATTAGAGTTACCACCGAAMTTAACACACATGTTTTTGGTCTGTGGGAGGAGACTGGAGCTCCTGGAGAAAACCTACATGTGCACAAGGAGAACGTAAAAACTCTACACAAAAGAGGCCGCAAGTCCAAGACAATCCTGTGACCTTCATGGGCAACAATTTTAACCACTGCCATTCCATACAAACCTGCTTCATTATACTGGAAAAAGGGGATTTCTACAAAGCTAATCCAACAAACTGAACAGCAGTTACAAACTAAAATCCATGAAACTGAAGATTTTGTGTCTCTTTACTTAAAAGGTTTTCAGCTCGTCTCAAAGGTGTGATTAATCCAACAACTCCAAAGCTTTTACTTTAAGCAGCTTGGAAACAAAAAGTCATTAGCGTGCCTAAAGCGAATTAGCTAATCAAGCTTCAGACAAAATCATCTCTGTATTTTTCTGTTTTTCAGCTCATATTCCAGAGCAGATCTTCTACAACGTTTCCAGCATGACATGCTCAGCTCATCCCTCTCAGGGTGTTTCTTTTTTTTTTCTTCAAAAGATTACAGGTAAACGGGTTGTTTTTGCCTAAAGCCTAATGTCACTGAACTATGGATGCGTTTGAAGTACTAGCCCTTCCACAGCCCTGCGAAGCAGTTACATATTTGAGTATGAGGCAGGATCAGTCATTTTGCCGCTGTTATCACTACCAGTTTGTCATGTCTGTTGAAGCTCAGGTAAAAAGGTCCGCCGAAGGTTACTTTCCTCGGGTGAACGCTCCTCCCTCAGGTTCTGTCATTGCCATTTGGAAAAAAAAAAAACTAAACGAGTAACTACTACAAAGTAAATGATTTTAAGTACTTTGCTTCATAAAAGAGACATAACTACTCAGTTGCCTGTGCATTCAATAATACTGTGCACTTATCTACTGTTTGCATGCAGATATTGTCTTTTTTTTAAAGTTGCATGCTGAGAGTTTCCTTTGTAGAAAAACTGCCGAAGCTCCATCCATCAGATAAAAAATCTATTTTTTTCGGGGGGTGAGGGGAGTYGTGCACAAATATAGTTAGAAAATTTCGCTCGAGGCAAATGTCTATGCAGTTGCCAGGCGGAGATTTTTCAAGTCAGACCCTGGAGAACAGATTATGACTAATGAGGTCCAACTTAATGTGACTGGAGGAGGCAGCTGGCGAGAGGAACAGGCCTCGGTTTGAGCCTTTATCATGGGATCTCTTCACGAGCCAGACTGAGGGACAAACCCACAGGAAATACATCACAGCTGACGCCAGGCAGGCACGTCTGCTTTCAAAGTCAGCTACACGGACTTATAAGGAAATCTGGTAAAAGAAAAAGACATTTGGGGGAAATGTTAGCTGGTTACTTACAGTTAAATATTTTAGGATGCTTATCCTCTTCAGTTCACATGTAATCAAGTATGAATRTAAAAGCTTAACCAGCATTCACGCAATATTTTTACTTTGACTATTTATTCACTTGTAATTTCATGTATTTGTGTAAAATAATRTTTAGAAGGCATAGCTATTAAACGGAAATGCCTTTTTTTACATTCATTATCAGAGATGTWTAAAACTTGTGTAATCTTTAAACGCTCATGTTTCAGATGACTTCGARCTAATGATGCACCAAGTTTTAGTTTAATATGAATAAAACTGACTGAGCTGTATTATGTGTTTGATTATCTGTGGCAGCCACCGGGTCGACTCCAAAAGGTAATCACTTATAGATGTAGTACATCATCTAATTACTGAAAATTTCATTAAAATCCATCTGATGCATTGTGAAATRTTTTGCTAAMAGACAGACACACGAAGAGACAAGTATTACACGATCACTTGCCTTTCGTGGTATTTGGTATAAAATCAGTTAAATGTATTCGTGCTGAGAGGTTCGGTCCCCTGCGTGCAGTTTTGTTGTCCCCTCCTGCTGTTTTATTGAAACCATCTGATGTTGTGGGTGACAAATAGAAATAAGTTATCAGTAATTGCTGTGCGGCTCTGATTCTGTGGCCCAGAATCAATTATTATGACTCCCCAGCGTTAAATCCCTGGGTTAGTTTAAACACAAGCTCCCTATAGGTAAATCATCAAGACTAATTGAGACCTGGGGAGCTTGGCTGAAGGTGTTATTTGGGTGTACCACAACCTCTGTTGGATGTTTTGCCAGCACAGATGATGATATTTACTGAGATTTTCTTRACGCTGTGAAGAAACTGTGCCGGGCATCGTCATCGCTGTGACAGTCTGGACATTACATTTTTCATGAAAGTCCCCCAAATCCTGTGTTAGAGTGATGATGAAAGAGCGGCAGGTGTGGGAAGAATCCAGGACCCACCCAGTTTGGCCTCCCCAACCCCCCTCAGCCAGCTAAGCTGTTACCCATTGTGTCCTGGTGCTGAAAAGGAGCAGAGGAACAGGACAATTATGACATTATAGCTGGGTGGTTGAGCAGCAGTCCCAGCTGGTGGAAGCAGAAGGGAGGTATGGGCGAACGCAGAGCGGCTGCTCCCACAGGAAAGCAATCCACCACATGAGAGTCTACGTTCTGTCGTCATCAGACTCTGTTTAGGTCGTTAGATCAGTTCATCAGAGACAATCAGATCCAGTCTTTGATTTCAACTGTTAAACTAAGTTTAATCCTATTTTTATTATTGCAAAAGGCAAAGTAAAAGTGGACTGATCTTCTGGAAACTCAACAAAGTTGTTATTAGATGTACAGATTACCTTTTGGAATCACTTCACTTGAAGACGCTCACCACAACATATTGACTTTAGGCAGCAMAAAAATGGATCTAACTCAAATTTACAGATTTTGAGTTTAATTTGTTAACACTTTTTTAAAGATCTTTTAATCGTTGTAATATAATTCACAAGTTTTAGCTAAAGCAGCTTCAATTTTTGTCTTTTATCGACATAAAATGATCTGAATTTAATACTCGGGCATGAAAGACAGCAATGCAGTAGAGAGATGTAAATAACACCTAATTCATCACCAGGTTGAACTTTTGTGGAGCTTTAAATAGAGATGTCTCATGAATATTTCAAGCAATTTTCTTTATTTTGTTCATTTTGACTGCTGATACTGTTTCCTAAACATAACAAATTTAGCTAAATATTCAGCAATTAAAAAAACACAATGGACTGYACCAAATCTGTGACACTTATAGTAAAAAAGTTGACAGAACTTGACAAATTACAATTGGTGGGCTAACATCAGATGAAAATATRTTCCCTGATTTGAGATTGATGAGCACTTCAACATTTACTCTAAAACCTRCAAAACTTACATTGTTAAAACAGGGGAAATTTTTTTGTGTTTTATTGTGTCATTTTCAAATATTAATGTACTTACAGTAAAAGATTTCTTCAACCAAAGGGTTCGATCAGCTTTAATTACAAAAATATGTTATCAAACCAAACTGCAAAATTCTTATTGCACACAAAGTGTATTTTAAGAGCAGCATTTAAAATTACATTATCTGATAATTCAAATACTTGAAGCCTACTAATGTTTTACTGAATATGTTGCTTGTTCTGTTTTAATTTCAGCTGCTATTTTACTGTTTTTCTCATGCACCTAATAGCATGAACAAAAGCTTYATATAAACATTGGGTGCAAGACTTAAACATGGCGTATAAAGCAGGAAGTACCTGATAGGTGGGTATGGTTGCTGCAGTCTGGATTTGGCAGGAATGAATGAAATAACACCATTTTTTATGTAGACATGTACATACCATGTTAGAACAGAGCATCTGCTAAAGCAGTTACTGCTGGGAGCAGCATGTGTACATTCAGTGTGCTGAGGGCTACATGTGTACATGAGYTATGCTCAGGGGTTATTACTTTTTCCAAACACTTCTAAGCTGTTAAGTTGGAAGAGGTGACTTAGTTGTGTGGTTTTTGTGTTCAAAGCAACTGTAAAAGTGCTTATAAAAACAATACCACATCTCCTGGGAGCTACATCCAGGTGTTTGTGTCTCTTGCAGTGTCATCCTGTCCTCTAAACTCGACCAATTGGAAATCAAAGCGTAGGTGTGTTGTCCCCCCTCTCCACGCTTCACAGGAATGTCACGGGAGAACGACCCCGCGGGAAGGCAGTCCACACAGCCCCGGGACAAAGCCGAGCCACCTGAGAGGAGTCGTTTGACTGTTAGGGTTGAAGAGCTCGATCCTTGGACCAGAGGTTATCACATGTCCGAGACAGAACCTGTAACACTGTTGAATCTGAGCTCAGCTGTGTGCCCTGGTTAGCTTTCAACACCAAGAAGGTCACAAGATTAAAATACTTTGTTCATTCACTTTGAATGTATATTAACATACACACAATATATATACTGTATATTATGAATACTTTAAAAAGTTGTAGTACACCACCCCTTGTCTATAACTCTGTCTGCATTTCAAATTATTATGCAAATGAAATTTTCTCTGATTTGTTGGTGTAAATGACAGTCAGTGTAATTTTCAAGTCACCAGCTGAGCATAATTCAAAAGTTATTGAAAAAATCTCCCAGTGATCACAGCATTAAAAAGAATTAAATTACAAATTATTACACACAACAGAGTTTCTAAACATTTTATAGGGTCATCTGTTGAATTTTCAGCAGTAAGGAGGTCATATTTACTGAAACCAAAGGCTACTTGAATCAAAAACATCTTAACAGGTTGGTCCATTGAACTGCTGAGTTCTTGGAGAGTTCCTGCATGAATTTCTTYGCAGGACATCAGTTCAGATCTGAACTCAGAGAGGTGAGGTTTGGCTCGAGGCTCCAAAGATTCTCAATAAGGGTTGAGGTGGAGGACGGGGAGCCACACCATGAGCTTCTCTCGTTTTATGCCTGTAGCAGCCCATGATGCACAGGGTGTGATCTGAATCAGCCACAAATCTCTTAATAGTACAATGACCTTGCTTAGTTTAAAAAAAAATCTAAGAATGTCATGCCTTGTCCAAGACAAGACATGAGTTTCTAGTGATGTGTG